ACCATGAACTGGTTCATTTAAGACGATCACAATATGTCTTATAGTCTATATAATGTTTCACCATCTGTATTCAACATTATTTCATATAAAATTGTAATTTGCGATTAATAAATCACAAAGTTCAAAAATAAAAAGAAACTAAACCCTACATTTTAATCCAGAAAATGAGATTTATAAACTTTGAAAACTAAATACTAAACCATAAAAATAAGAGAAAATTTGAAAAATTTGAAAAATTACCTTTTTTGGCTTTTTAAATTTGAAAAATACCTTTCTTTTATTTTATTTTTGAAAAATACACTTTATTAAATATGAAATTACAAAAATATCCTAAAAAAATCTGCACAACAAATAATAAATTACATATTTAAAATTGAATTAATTTGTTGTGAGAAATTAATATATATARYCTATATTTTAGGGYGATCATATCTTTTTCAAAAAAAATTRTACATTTTACTYTATTGTACAHGTAAATCATGCAASTATCACATCAATCCCAAAAACAATATAGTTATGCTGAAATAAATTAGCCACATTTCAGACRATAKTATAACATCTATTCTTGTTTTTTTATTTATTAGAAACAAAAAAACTACACTCATTTTTAAGATAACTTAACAAGGAAGTGGTTCACTATGTTGTTAAATAACAGAGCACGATTACATTAGCTTTTCAACACAAAAAAATCAAGTCTCTATCCATCAATTCTAACTGTTTGTTTTTGTATGCCAAATCTTTTTTTTTTGGGAATTACAAAAATGCCACTTTTTAATGACACATTTACAAGCGTGCCACACCCACATGATTCTTTACAAATCTGCCATCTTTTTGTAAGAAATAGACAAAAATGTTGTGGGAGCCAAGACTAGCACAATTAGATTTGTAAGGGTTTCATGAGGAAACAGAGATTTCTAGGTTAAGCTACGAACGAAACGATGAGCAAAGAGAAACGTTTGTTATTGCTGTGTATGCTTTTGTGAACAAAGTTGCAGATACCCTTCCAAGGGTTTTTACATCTACTATATATAACGTTCCTAAGTCGGCTAAGTTTCCTAAGTCTTCGCGGATTCCCTCTTCGCCTATGTCGGTTTCGCCGAAGTGGGTTTCGTGACTGGACTGGGCTTCGGTCTTGAGGCTCCAGGCTCCCGTGGGTGTTACATCCGTTTCCTGGAGATGTCTGGGCTTGCCGTCTTAACTGGTCTAGAGGCGAAGCCCAACCCAGTTGATCGTCACCGCCATTTCGTAAGTGTCCAGAGGTCATCGACTCGAGTCCTCCTCGTGCCGCCGTAGACATCGGTCATTGGGTCCATCGCCATCGGGTCCAATGCCACCGGATCTTGGATGACTTCGTTGC